GGGCTGACCCACACCCGGAGGCCCCATTCAAGCTGCTAGAGCTTGGCAGAGGGCAGTGGGCGGCCGGGGCCCCTGCAGGCCCAGACTGGGCCCCACAGAGTGCTTCACCCAGGGCTGCCAGAGGCCAACTTGGAGCTTCTAGAGGAGACGGGGGAGGGTCCATTCGAGAGGCAGGGCCAGCAGGAGGCTCTGACTCCAGATGCTGTCCCCATCTGTCCTGGGCAGAGGCAGTGGGCGAAGGCACCTGTCTCCAGGTCAAGCCCATCTCAATGCAGGGCCCTGGGACCAAAATTCAGAGCATCCTATCCTGAACCTGGGCCTGTCATTAAGTTAGCATTTTGGAGCAGCCCAGCACACAAAGCTAGGTAAGATGGTCTGTTCTCCAGAGCGTGTTCTGTGGGTGTATTTACATACGGGGTCCTACCTATTCTTTACATTCTTCACTCAGTCCAATGTTTCTAAGCTCCATCCATTTTATGGTTTTTGTTTTGTTGTTGTTTTTCTTTTGTTTTGATAGGGTCTCACTATATAATGTAATCTAGCCTTGAACTCCAAGTCCTCCTGCCTTAGATTACCAAGTGCTGGTATTACAGGTGTACTCCATCATACCTAGTTTGGCATCTAGTTTTAATACCACTGCCACAAAAATATTCCCTCCATAACTCTTTTTTTTTCTTCTGGCACTGGGGTTTGAACTCAGGGTCTCATGCTTGCTAGGCAGGCACTCTATCACTTAAGTCACACCCTCAGTCCTTTTGCTTTTTAGTTTGTTGTTCAGATAGGATCTCACTAACTTTTGCCAGGATTAGTCTTGAACCACAATCCTGTGCCTCCCAGGTAGCTGGAATTACAAGTATATTCCACCATGCCTGGGTACTACTCCATACTAACACTTTGTTCTAGTTATGGGCAGAGAGCTTGCCCCAACTCCTCACACTCATAAGCTAGTGTTAAAGAGAATTTGCCAAAAGTTTCCCCAGTAAGCCCGATGGTTTCCATAGGATTTTGGCAAAAGAGTGCTTTATCAAGTTAAAGAAATTCTTTTGGGGGCTGGAGCTGCAGCTAAGTGATGTAGCACTTCCCATCCCTAGATTCTGTTATCCAACACTGAAGGAAAAAAAATAGCAATTCTTTTCTGTGCCTGGTTATCTGAGTGCTTTTGGCACATGCAGTTGTCTATATCATGATCCTTAGGTGATCAAGTTTCACCAAAGATCTGACTGCCACCTATCTACCCAAGATCCCCAAATTTATGCCCCTCTCAAATGTTCGACTATTGTATCCAACTGCCTACACAATATCAATGTCTCCAGTTCTAAAAGACATCTCAAACTTATTATGTTGCAAACCACATTCCTGATTGTCCCCTACAAAATCTACTCCCCTTCTACCTCAAAGTGCCACTCCAATTCCTGAAAGGCTGAATGTTTTTTGCACTGGAAGTCCTCGCCAGTGCAATAAGGCAAGAAAAAAGAAATAACAGACAGGAAAAGGTGTGAGGGTTGGAAGATGTCACATGGGCCATAGAGAAAGATCAAACCAAAGACTGTGTTCACAATTGGACTTATTACTGCGAAGATGTAAACTCTCCCCACGTGATCTACAGATTTAATACAAATGCCAGTCATGTGGTGATAGAGAACAGGTCAGAGTAACCAGGTTTAGGGAAGGGGGCTGCTTGATTACAGACAAACAGCACAAGAGGTTTGTGGGAGGGTAGAACTCTTCAGTAGTGGTGGTGGTCAGATGAATCTATTCATGTGTCAGACTTCAGACTTCATTTTAGAGCTGAGGAATGGAAAGGTCAGAGTCACCAGGGGTAATTTGTTGGTAACTCTAGAGTCAGAAGCTCTATGGTTAATTGTCTGCTCTGTCTCCTGCTTGTTTGTACCCTTGGGCAAGTCACTTCTCCTTCTGGTCTTGTTATCTGCCAAAGGAGCTCCTCTCTGTCCCCTGCAGAGGTTATCAGTGAGAATCCTAGTGAAATTCTACATATGCTTAAGTTCGGCACACAGGCCTCTTTTTACGTTGTTTATATGAGCTCCCAAAGAGTATTTCTTACTTTGTTGAAGTATAATATATGGACAGAAAAGTATCCATAAATTGATGGCTTGTTAGATTTCCAAACTGAACCCACGGGCATCACCAGAATCCCCTCAGTGAACAGATGGCATCACCTGTCATCAGAAGTTCTGGTTGGTCCCTTTCTTTCTCCAGAGCTCTAGTGGAACATTCTGTAAGCATGAAATGGGCCGTAAGTCAGCAGAAATGCTCAGTTTTGGTGGGTGCTACTGGGTCCCCAAAGTTGTACCAGCAACGCTCCACCAAGAGTGAATGGACACTCTGGTCATTCTCTAGTTCTCTGACTCTTGGACTTTTCTGCACACATAAAGGAAAGATTTTTGAATGGTCTTCCCTCCCCCCTTAGACACTTATGTAATCATTTACTATTATGCCAAGCACTGGGAGTTCAGATAAACAAGGCGAATCCCTGGCCTTAGAGGTCCCCAGAATAGTGGCTGGGATGGATCAGGAAAGATTATTTTGAAAACAGGGAAGTACATGCCAACGACTGAAGGGCCATTAAGTTCAGAGGAAGAGAGTTGGAATGAGTGACAGTCCGAGAGGTTTCCTGAAAGAGGCAGCTTTGCTTTTTAAACTATTGTGAACAATGTTTTAATGTACTAATACTTTATTGTAATTTTTTTTCTGATTTTAGGACTTGCTATAGAAACACCTGGCAACTAAACTAGAATAAAAAGTTGAGAAACCATCTGAAACTCCACACTCGGAGTTCAGCGCAGTGAGGTGTTAGACACAGGCCTTTCCTTTCAACTCCCAGCCCCCTCTGCCCACCCTTCCTGCCCCAGAGCCCTTGTGGTTAAGGTGGAATGGAGATCCCTGTTGTGGTAGAGTGGTGTCTTTTCTCCCTAACACCCTGCTAATGGGAGAATATATGTCATTTCCGCTTCCTAACAGCGGGATAATCAGTCCTATCTTGGTTTTGGCTAAAGTAAGAACATTGTTTCCCAATGAACACTTTCTATTTGAAACTTCGCATCTTCCCGTAACGTTCATACGCTTTGCAGCTGCCTGTGGGGTTGTCCTGTTCCCAAGAGGATGACCACAATTTAAAAACATTCTTAAGCCCTTCAGACGTGCTCATTTTAGGCAACCTGGAAAAAATTTTTTAAAAAATGTAAAGAGGAAATAATCACTCACAGTCCTACCTTCCAGCAAGCCACGTGAATGTTTGGTGTGTTTCCTTCAATTTTTTTTAAAATTAATTTTTAAATTTTTTTTATTATTATTGTTGTTCTGGGAGTACATAGTGACATTAACAAAAGTTCTTACAATATATCATATTTGAATGCACCCCCCATCATTCTCCTTCCTCCTGTTCCTAGAGCAGTGTCAACAGGTCTCGTTTTTTCTGTTTTCATACATGAGAACCTAACATTTCCACAATATTCACCTTCCTACACCTTCCCCCCTCCCACTGGTGCCAACCTCCAGACAGGACCTGTTTTACCTTCCTGTTCTCCATTTTTGAAAAAAGACATTTTTGTTTGTGTAAGATAGCTATACAGGGAGTTTTATTGTGGCATTTCCATGTATATATGTATTATAACCTGAACTGGTTCATCCGTGATATTTTTCTCCTTTCTACCTTAGTCCCCTTCTTATGGTGATTTCAACAGTTTTAAAAATTCTATATTATTGTATAGAAAATACATCAACCGTATTCACCTTAATTTTCTTCTTTTATCCTCCCTCTCCTGTTAGTGACCTCCCCTTAGCGTGACTTGTCTTTCATATTTTTTTTTATTATAAAGGTAGGCTGGGTGTGTAGCTCAGTGGTAGAGCACTTGCCTAGCATGTGTGAGGACTTGGGTTCGATCCCTAACACTGGGGGGGACATAGGGAGAATAATTTAACAGATGCACCATCAAAGAAGGTATACAAATGGCATATAAGCATGTGAACATTGTTAGTCATTGAGGAGATGCAAGTTAAAACCATATAATCTAAGACAGGGGTTCCAACTCAGTGTGGAGCACTTGCCTAGCTTGTGTGAGGCCCTGAGTTCAATTCCCCAGCACCACACAACACACACACACACCACACACCATACACACATATACCACACACCACACACACACCCCACACACATACACACATGCACACACACACACACATGCACACACACACACCACAAACATACACATACACCACACAAACACACGTGCGCGCACACACACTTGCACACACACACACACCACATACACGCGTGCACACACACATGCACACACAATTGTAAAGGTAACATCTCAACACAGACAAAACTTGGGGGAAATGCAAAAAAGACAATGAAAAATAATCAATCACCCTTAATGTCAGCACCCGGAGACAGCCATCCTGGGCAGCTTTTCCTATATGTTTCTCCTTTTGCTTTTTATGTCTCTTCCCAAAATGACAAGTTCTAGAAGAGAACCTAGCAAATGTAGGTGTCCTGCAGGGGCTAATGTCCCTGTAAGGCAGGGTGGACTCTTTGTTTTGTCCCTGCTGTGTGTGGGACACAGAATTAAAAAGCTGAAGACTGGTGTTCTAGAACAGTGTCTGGAGGTGTGGTCCATGAGCTGGCAGCAGCAGCATCACCTGGAAGCTTCTAGAATTCAGGCAGAGACTCAGGCTGGGTCTAGAGCTGGCATGACATGCCCTCTAGGACGTAACACGATGCATCCAGAGCTGGGAAGTGCTGCTTCAGGTGGGTTGAGAGTGGAAGCCCCCTGAGAAGCAGTGCAGGATTGCTTTGCAGTGTGGAACTCATGTATACCTATGCAGGTGTTTCTGTGATTTTGTTTGCAGAGAGAGGGCCCACCTAGGTTTGGCAGCTGAACAAATCTTGCTGAATGAATCAAGGGATAAATACCTGAATGAAGATGCTAACTCCAGAGCTGTGACCCACGTGTCTTTGCTTTTTCCATTTTTAATTCTAGGATTGGAACATCAGCTAACGGCTGAGCACTGCCAACCCACCTCCTCCCATCCACGTCCATCACACCTCTGGACTCCAGAGAGGAAGCAGGGCTTGGGGTGTGCCATGATCTCAACATTCTTAGTACTGGCCATTGGCACCTGTCTTACCAACTCCCTAGTGCCAGGTAGGATTGGGGGGCACAGGTGGAGGGATGGGAAGACTTAGTGCACATGGGGATTGGGTGAGGGCATGGTCTGTGTCCAAGGTCATGGGACCATCCTAAGTATTTACCAGCTGCAAACCAAGTGTTCAGAGCAAGAGACCTCAGCTCTGCCACTGCACAAGCCAATGTTGGGTGACTCCCTTGTTTGCCCGGTGTATTATCCTGTTCTTCTGGGTTTCTCTTTATCGCTACTAACCGGAAATGCACAAGTTCTGTAGACTCTTCAAGTCTTGGAATTCGAAGTCTGCTCTTGGCTTTGTGAGTTTACACTCTTTTGTGGCAGTACGTTGCTGTGTGTGGTGTGAAATTCTTGCTTATGAACTCATCTTCAGTGGCAATTTGTTTTGTTCATTTTGTTTTTTTGTTGGCGACTCATGCAGAAGTGTTTCTGTGGTGTGGTATTGGGTTTGATCCTTTCAGGGCCTTGGCAGTTCCACTCATTCTAAACAAGGTTTTATGTTAATTTCTTAGTTTGCAGTTCTTATGCTATAAATTCAAATCCGTTCTTAGACCTGGCTCAGCTTTGGAGTTGGGTTCACCTTTCTCAGGAAGGACTCTCTTCCCATTCCTTCACCAGCAACAATGAATGCGTCACATCAGCTCTCTGGCCTAGACTTGTGTCTATTCTGGTGTCCCCAGGGAGGCTGTGCTGCAGCAGCCCTGTGTGTCCCTCTGGTTTTGAATTTCCTTTTAAAATTTGCCTCCTGGGGATTCCTCCTTCCCTTTTCTTCCTTTTTGAAGCTCTGTGCTGGTTTTGGTGGTTTATCTTTTTGACATTTCTGTAGCCAGAGCCAGAGAAGAGAGCCTTCCTTTGCTCAATGCGTCATGTGTCTGGCAGTCCCCACCTATCCTCCCTGAGCCTCAGTTTCTCCACTTGTCCCATGGAGATGATGTTCCTTCTCCTTGGGGCTGTGGTGAGCATCACATGGGACTGTCACAGTGTCTGGCAGAGTGCCACTCAGGAATGTTGGTCTCTTCTCTACAGAGGAGATGGGGGTTGCAGAGAGGGGTCTGACTCAACAGTCAGCAGGGCTGAGGCTAGACCCCAAGTAGAAGGATTCTGAGATCTCATAGGCCTTTCTTTGTGCATCTTTGGGGACTCAGAGTCACTCTGGAATGGGGTCCCTGCTTTCTCAGCACTCACGACACCCCTGGGTGAAAGCTGAGCCCGTGGATGAAAGGGAAAACATGAAAAAATCTTCAACTGTTCAACAATTGAATTTCTGTATTTGTTTCATTCTGGCCATTCTGATAGGTGTGTGTTATATTGTCTTTTTTTAAAAATTAATTATAGTAAAGGGCTCAAATCTGTTTGGAGAGCATGGTGGATTTTCACACATATTCGCACTCTTGTGACCACCACAGAGATCAAGACAACATTACCAGCCTTGGGACGGCCCAAGGCTTCTCTGTGGTCTCCCAACAGTCCCTCCCAAAGCCAGAGGAAATGACCACCTGCTGTCATACACTTGTTTTGCCTGCTTTGAGCTTCACATAAATGGAGTCATACAGGACATGCTGATAAATTATACCATGAGCATTTGTGTGTAATACTTCATGGTCACCCGAAACAATGGCCTCCTGGTATTCAGGACTCTTTATTGCTTAAGACAGATCTCTAACAGCGCAGTCAGTTTGATACTTCTTTTGGGGATAGGCCTTAGGGTGGCCCTGGTGATAAAGACATGGGCTCTGCCTTCACTGAACTCCCAGTCTTGTGGAACCTGCAGACTGGTAGCAGAAGTCAGCAGGCAGACCGTGTGGATGGGCAAAAGTTCTACACTCCCCAAATGGCACCTGAGTGGCCAAAGAGGCTCCATGCCCACAGGTTCTGCAGTGCCTGTGGAGGAAGGCGAAATCTCTGATCAAAGTCTTTGACCCAGGTCACTTGGCCAAGCTTTATCTCCTACGATCCTAAAACCACCTGGCAGTAGCTAGTACTCTCCAATCTCCCTGGGGCAGAAACTAGTGCAAAGAGTTTGCCTAAAGGCCACCGCTGGAAAGATCAAGGCCTCCAGACTGCCAGCTGAGGGCTCTCTGTCTGTGAGGTCTGAAATTGGCGACCTTGGTAGACACTTCCAGAAGAGAGGTGGAGCTGGGGCTCTGGGGTGAAGGTATGGGTGCAGAGACGTGAGGCGGGGAGGTGTATGGGTGGGTGGGTGTCCACAGCTTGAAGTGGGGCCTGGGTCCCTCCCACTTCTCTTCCCTGCTGCCTGAGGCATGGCTGTCTGCTGGACCTGAGCATCTCAGTTCCTCCTCTGTAGCGCTTGGCTCCATCTCTTCCCTTCCTGATGTGGAAGAACTAATGCCCCCTCACCCCAAGGCTTTGAGAAGACCAAAGGAGATGTGGCTGCGTGTGAAGTCCTTGGTTCACTGCCCAGACACACACTTGTCAGGAGGAGAGAGGCTTCTCTGTGCCCACACCTGTCGTGAGAGACCAGGGCTGAAGATGTGTCCCACAAACTTTCAGTGTGACCCTGGACAAGACCTTCCCACCTCTTCTGACCTCAGCTCCTCCCTCTCTGTAGTGGGAGGTGGCCCCACGGGGATCCCATCTCCAGACTGTCTTGGGTTCCCATGGGTGGATCTGATGGGACCTGAGGAACCCAGGGCAGAAAAAACCCTGAAGATGGGGGGACCCTCCCTCCCAGACACAGGGTCCTGGGCCTGTGCTTGGCTCTGACCTGTGGGTGAGACCTGTCACTTATCTCATCTAGTTCAGTCCTTACAAAAAGGCCCTGAGATGATGGTATAAACAACCCATTTGACGGGAGGAAAAGGTCTGTCAGACACTGAGGCTGTGGATTGAGCACTGATGAAAGAGAAAGGGAGAGGGAAGGAGGGAAGAGAGAGGTGGAACATGCTTCTAGTTCTTTCTAGTTTTATCTCAATATTCTAACAGGCCATTCGATGGGAGTTAGCGGCCATGAGTGAGGGTTGGAGCTGCATGCAGCTCAGCCTCCTTGTGAATCTATCCCAGCGGGAGTGTGATTGTGGGGTTGCCTTAAATTTGATGCAATAAGCCAAAGGCAAAGCTCGTAGCACTGTCACCAAGAAGCCCGGTTCCTGCTAAACCTACTGAAATGAACAAGCCAAGCAGAGTTTATAATTGATGGCTGGATATACCTGTGGACTCCTGCAGTTGGAAGGAGTTTGTTCTGAAAATAGGTTAAACATTACCCTCCAAATTGCGCTAGCAATTGCTGCCTCAGAATTCCTCTCTACCGGGTCAAAGGCAAGCGTGGGCTCTGGAGGGAAGCCCAGCTCTGCCAGTGTCTGCCAATGCTGTGTGGCCTTGGGGGAGCAGTATTGATGTCTCTGAGCCTTGGGTTCTTTATTCTGAGACTTGAGGATTAAGGAGGAGATGCCAGGACCCACAGGCTTGTGGGATTTGCCTGGCATGTGATTGAGATGGGCACCTGGGGCTCCCTCCTCCAGGTTCTGACATTCCAGCCCCCCCAGCCCCCGACAATAAACTGCTGGGGTGTATATTAGTCTGGGGAGAGCTGTGCCCCACCCCGCCGAATCACTCTGCCTCTCTCTATACAGAGAAAGAGAAAGACCCCAATTATTGGCGAGAGCAAGCCCAGCAGACTTTAAAAAATGCTCTGGGACTTCAGAAACTCAATACCAACGTGGCCAAGAATGTCATCATGTTTCTGGGAGATGGTGAGCCTGGGGCCAAGGCGGGGGCTGGACAGGGGTGCACCCAGTAGGAGGTAAAGGGACTGGGTGGAAAGGCTGGGCTTTGGGGGTAGGGAGGGGAAGAGAAAGGGGCCAAGCTGTGGACCCAACAGGTCTGGGAGCAAAGGAACAAAGGGTCTGCTCAGTGACATTTGCCGCCTGCCTTTGCACCAAACTAGAGCGCTCTGGGTGCCCGATTGGATAGGCGGGGAGCCCAAGAGCTCAAACCTCCCACTCCCTGTGCAGGGATGGGCGTCTCCACGGTGACAGCCGCCCGCATCCTCAAGGGTCAGCTACACCACAACCCTGGGGAGGAGACCCGGCTGGAGATGGACAAGTTCCCTTTCGTGGCACTCTCCAAGGTGAGCCCACCTGACCCAAACCACCCCCCTCTCCACTTGGCCACCTGGAGGAAAGAACAGGGGAACAGTATCCCTGGGTGCTGTTAGGGACCCAGGGACCCAGGAGGCTGTCAGACCTCCTGGGTCTCATGGTCCCACTGGGAAACGAGGGGGGTACTAGCCACTTCCAAGACAGATTTGAGGCTTTCAACTCACTGATTTAGAAGCTCTTGTTTTTGGTGGTACTGGGGTTTGAACTCAGGGCTTCACACTTGCAAAGCAGGTGCTCTACGGCTTGAACCACACCTCCAGTTCTAGAAGATCTTTTATTGAAATGTAGCATACATGGGAAAAAGTGCACATAAACCTGCACCCATTTGTGGCACCAGCATCCAGCTGAAGCAACTGAGCATGGCAGAAGCCAGACGCCCCCATGAGCCCCCTGCAGCCCCTGCCCCTCCCCACCAATATGGATTAGCTGCACTGCTCTTATATTTTCTATAAACAGAATCAGGCCAGGCAGTCCTGGAGTGGATTAGATCACGGATGTAACTTCTAGTCCGGTGTGCATGGAGACAGTTAATGTAATGAACAGCTTCCAGATGCTCACTCCGGGGTCAGGCCCGGGCTCCTGCTAAGGGAAGATCAGGGACTGTAGACTTCCCTGTGCCTCCAGAGGGCTCTCAGGCTGGTGGGGAAAGGAGACAGGGGTCTCTACTGGAGATCTGAATGGGGTGGGGGTGCAGCTGGCAGGGATGGCTTCTCCACTCCCCTGCATTCCCCACCTCTATTCCACGGATCCTCCTTCTTCTCCCTTCTCCAGGACCCACCTGCTCCCAGGCCCTTGCTGCCTTGCAGCCCCAGACCCAGAGAACGGCCCTGCCTGACCCCATTCCTCTGCCTCACACTTCTCCATGTGGTGGGGGGTTGGCTTCCTGCCCCTCCTGCTGCCTGTCACTGCCAGGGTATGGGAGGCAGGCAGCTCAGATAGGTGATTTTATGGCTCTGGGTGTGTGTGTGTGGGGGGGACCTCAGTGAGCAGTGGGGCTCAGCCAAGGCTGCAGAGACGTCTGGTATCCCTCACACCCTGTCCCCATGGGAGTGGAGGTGGGTTGGCAGCAGTAAAGGCTGGCCATCACTTGACCTCCTTTGTACCTGCAGACTTACAACACCAACGCACAAGTCCCTGACAGCGCAGGCACTGCCACTGCCTACTTATGTGGGGTGAAGGCCAACGAGGGCACTGTGGGGGTAAGCGCAGCAACCCAGCGCACACAGTGCAACACCACTCAGGGAAACGAGGTCACCTCCATCTTGCGCTGGGCAAAGGATGCTGGTGAGTGGGGCTGGCTGGGCTGGGTTCTGTAGCTGTCTGGGCTTCAGTCTTTGCACCTGTGCAGTGGAAAGAGGGAGGGGACGGGAGCCCTCCAGGCTCCCAGTTCTGATGTGCAAGGTGTCTAGGAGCTGCTCAGGGAGGCCCTTCCATGACAGGGAAGGCTGTGGTTCCAGGCCGCTCAGGGTGATCAGGGCTCCATTTCCTGGATCTATTCACTTGACTGTGGCACAGGCTTGAACATGTAGTGCCCTAGCTTTGGTAGGGGAGGAGTAGGCAAAGCACAAAGCCCAGGGACGGCTCTTCCTGGGAATCAGAAGGCCCAACTCCATCCTGGGGACTGTGAAGTCAGGGAAGAAAGCCAGCTGACCCAGGAGACAGAGGCCCCTTCCACCAGAGGCCCCTTCCAAGGGCCTGGGGGCTTCCTGCAGGAGTGGATCCTGTAAGTCCTGCACAGTGTCTTGCTGCACCCCCCTTCCTGCAGAGGGGGAGACTGAGGCCCAAGGCAGATCAGTTATATGGGAGGCTGTCTTCAGCACGCAGAGGGAGGACAAGGCTTAGGGGATACCCTCGTCTACAGATGGTGCCAATCTCTCCTGTCCCGCACCTCAGGGAAGTCTGTGGGCATCGTGACCACCACTCGGGTTAACCACGCCACCCCCAGCGCTGCCTACGCACACTCAGCAGACAGGGACTGGTACTCAGACAACGAGATGCCCCCGGAGGCCCTGAGCCAGGGCTGCAAGGACATTGCTTACCAGCTCATGCACAACATCAAGAACATTGACGTGAGTGGTCTGCACTGTGCAGGGACCAGCTGGGAGGCCTCTGGGGGCGGGAGACCTCAAGCCCGGGCTGGCCCAGCCAGGCCTGGCTCCACACACACCCGGAAGGTCTCCTGGTCCATTAAGGGATTTGTGGCTGGGGCAGGCAGGGTTTCTTTGTGGTGGGGCTGCAGGTTAAACCCTCATGTGGTGACTACCACACCCCAAGAACCAGGCGCCCAGGGATTATTCCATAAATTAGAACCTGGCGCTGCACTGTCCCCCACCCCCAGCAAGGGGAGGCAGGGGTGCTGTGGTGGCTGTCTGAGGGAACAACCTGCGCATACATTAACACGTGCGCAGGTAGGCACATGTCTGTGTCCACAGCTAATACACCCAGAGAAGACTGTATGAAGCTGTGGGTCTATAGGCTCTGAACTTCCCCGGATCCTGTCCGTGCCCTGCCCTGTACTAGCTGTGTGATTATGGGTCAGTTACTTAACGTCTCTGAGCCATCCTCTGTATAACCCCTTTGCAAACTGCACTTAGCCCATAAACTCATTGCAAGAACTGAATAAAATAATCCCCGTGCAGTGTTGCACAAAGCCTGACTCCTATGAGTGCTCAGAAAGTGGCAGCATTTATGTGTGAGCTATGAGTCCTGCCCTGAAACACACAGCAACACAGGGAGCAGGCTCTCACCTGCTGATGCTATGACCTTGCCTGCTCTTAAATAAGAATTTCCAGCTGTTCCTTTTTAGCCTTCTGTTACCTACTGGGGGGAGGGGGAGGGGAGGGGCTGGTGAGTGGATCGGGGAGACTTGGACCCGTGAGCCCAGAATGGGGATTCAGTGAGGCTCAGAGGCAGCCCCCAGGCCCAGCTCCCCTCACCTGTTTGCCTCTGTTCACCACCAGCTCAACTGCCCTCTGCTCACTAGGGACCTCTCTACCCCCAGTTTCTGGGTTCCACCTGGCCATCTGCCACCCCATCTTGCCCCTTTTCCAAGTGGTGGCAGTCCTGTTGACCCTTCTTAGCAAGGAGACACCTGGGACAAAGCCACCCATCTGGCTTTGCCTCCACCTGGCCCTTCCCCTCCCTGAGCCCCTGTTTCTCACCTGTGCAGTGAGAACAGCAAGCCCCACCTGCTGGCTCCCAGGGTTGCTGGAGGCCGGCGTGAGGTCATGGACATGGGAACCATGCTATAGGGCACAGGGAGGGTAACCACAGCGGCTCTTTAGAGAGTTTAGGTGGGAACACTGACATGGGACAGGCACTTCAGGGAAAACCAAGCAGAGATATTTCAGGCGGGGACTGAGGGTGAGCAGGGGGTGAGGGGAGGATGAGCCAGGGAGGGAAGAAGGAGGGAGTCCGTGTGAGTCCCCCTTCTTCTCACTTTCCACTCCCCTTTCTCTCCCAGCCCTAACTACTCCTCCATCGCCACCACTCTGACAGCCCCCCAGGCTATACATGAAACAAAAATTTTGGTGTCCGCCCTGAAAATAAATAACTTTTGCTTAAAAAAAAAAAAAGAAAAGAAAAAAAGAAAGAAAGACACAAACCCAAACCCCAAAGGCAAATAGCAAGTCTGTTATTTGGGAGTTTAATGAGCCCGTGTGAAGTCCCTGCTGGGGCTGGAAACCATGAGGCTCCAGGCAAGAAGACTGGGGACTTCGTTTTCCACTCAGAAAATGCCAAGTGTCAGGTTATGTGGTGACATGGGGGCAGGAGTGGGGGTGGGGACCATGGCCTGGGTCCCCTCAGGCTTGCCCTGCCTGAGCGCCTTGCTGCAAGGGGGTGACACCCTTGCCTCCCTGGAGTGCTTCTATCCTTCCTATTTTTGCCTGGGAGGCTGCCTCCCAGTAGAGGCTGCCTGGAGGTCCTGCGTCTATGATGGACAGCTGATAGGCCTGGGGCAGATGGGTCCCATTTTATAGATAAGGAAAATGAGGCTCTGCGAGGTTAAAGTGACACCAGAGTCAGGATTCAAACCCAAGTCTGACTTTAAAGCCAATGTCTTTTCCATTCCCTGTGGGCGTCCTGGGGCACCTTCCCCACATCCACTGTTGATGCAGACACCCAACTCCCTCTGCACCCTATGGAACCTGGGTTCTGAGGTGGGAAACAGAGTGAAGATGGAGAAGAGGGCTATGAGGTGCCTGGCCTGGGGACAGGGGATCCCAGGTGTCAGCCAGGGCCAGCAGCCTTGGTTGGCACCTGCGGTGACAGGAGGACACCGGTGTGGTGGTCACTGCGGGCAGCGGCTGTTATGCTCTTGGCCCCTGTTTTAAAAATAGTCAGGACTTCAAACATGGACTCCCGAGAAAAACAAACAGTCCCGTGTCCGTCTGCCCGCACATGCCAGCCGCAGTGGGTAAATTTAGCCTGGTGGTGACTACACAGACGTGAGGCTGGCTTGTGTTTGCCCAGGCACTGGGCTGGTTCCCAACTGGGTTGCCCTAAGACCTCCCTGGCCAGGGCCTGTCCTTGGCTCCATGCATGCAGCAGGGCACTAGAGATGGAGATGGAGAAGCCCTGGGTTCCAATCCTGCCTCTGCCTCTTACTGGCTGTGTGGCCTTGGGGGAAAGAGCCCAACTCTGTGCTCTTGCCTTTACTGGGAAATTGCTGACAGATTCCTTTAGCTGTGGTATGAAGTTGAGCAAGAGTCTGTGCCTTATGGGCTCAGGGCCTGGCATACAGACCCCGTAAGTGGTCTTCTACACATGGCAGTTGCATGGTAACCTTCTAGAAAAGCCTGTGAGGTAGCTCCAATGTCCCACAAGTTCCTAACTGTAGTCCCAGGCTGCTGTGGAAAAGTGGGTGCTAAGAGCGCTGATTCTCAGTTCTGGGCATGTGTCCATACCACCCACAGGGACTCCAGGTGTCCAGCTGTCCAGGCTGGGGCCACTGGAGCTTCTGAACATATTGGAACCCTGGACGCCATGGCTCCTGTCTCCCTTAGGTGATCATGGGGGGCGGCCGGAAGTACATGTACCCTAAGAACAGAACCGACGTGGAGTATGAGGTAGACGAGAAGGCCAGGGGCACCAGGCTGGACGGCCTGGACCTCATTCACATCTGGAAGAGCTTCAAACCAAGACACAAGGTAGTCTGCATGGGCTGAGGGCTGCAGAGGCAGCTTGTGGGGATGGGGTGGGTGGTAAGGCCCATCTGTGGTTCAGTGTTCTCCCTAATTCTTCCCTACGTGGGCTCTGATGGGCTAACAGACCTGTGAACAGCACACAGTAGGTGATAGGCTTCCTTCTGGGGAAGGCAGCAGAGGGGTGCATGAGGAGACGGGCAGGAGAGAGTGACCTGTATGGACATCCAGGCAGCCTGAGCACCCATGGAGCATGGAGCCTTGACTGGGCTCAGCACAAACGATGAGTCAAGATCAAGGACACAGGGAATGTCATATGCTCAGGTTGTGGGAAGCCTGGGACCTGTAGGTGCCCAAAGGGGACAGGCCACAAGGGAGGGACCCGAATGTCCTGGGCAATTGGGTGGAGAGGGTGGAGGAGGCAGCATAGGACAGATGGCAGGAGGAAACTGCTGGCCGGAATGAAATAGGAGTAAGGTGAGAACCCTCTGCAAGACAGGGGTGTCCCCTCAGCCAAGAGAGGGGAAGTTGGAAAGTGGGCAAGGGCTGTGGAGTCCCAGGCTCTGGTATCTCAGAGAAGTCTCTGGCCCTTTAAATCTGTGCTGCACGCCAGCCTGGGACAGCTGGATCTGGAAATGACTGTGGTCAGGGCTAAAGACAGTGGGGAGCAGCCTGGCAGCCACTTTGATGTCACTCTGGGGTTGGGTTTCTCAGGGTTCCAGGATGGGCCCTGGGGAGGCTTCGTGGGATGAGGCTGGGCCAAGAGCAAGTTGGGGGCAGGGCAGGGGAGCAGCCCCCATGGGTCGTGGGAGGCATGGGACAGGGTGGCTTTGAGCCCCTTCTCTTCCTTCTGAGCCAGCTCAGAGCCAGGGCCCCTTCCCTTCCAGCCTCAGTTTCCCTACATGGAACATGGGGCCGGAACTTCATCCTTCTTGCCCTGGAGCTCAGTCTAGACTCCCAAGATGGGAAGGGGGGTCCATACCAAGATCCTGAAGGGTGCTGAGTCCCATGTAGGTCACATTTTTAGAAACCCATGCTTCAAGAGTGGGTTCTAGAGGCAGTTTCACCTTGACCTTGTGGTCTATGTGCCTCAGTGTCCTCATCTGTTAAATGGGGACAGCCTTGGGACTGCCCTAAGGATTAGATGAGAACACAGAGGAACCCCGTCAATGAAGCATGGCCCTGGGGGGTTGGAGCTCAGCTTCTTGGCCTCCAGCCTGACTCCCCACAGCATCCCGTCAGTTTGAAAACCACTGATCACAAAGCCATTGCCTGAGAAGGCAAGGAGTGTCCTGAAGACGCAGCTGATTCTCGGCACTCCTGGGCCCAGTTGTCTCTGTCTTCATGCCCTGGCGAGGCCACATTTCCTGGGTGTCCCCTTTTGGAGTGGGTCCCCAAGGCAGAGCTGGGGCTCGGTTTCCTCCAGGCTGTCCATGCCCCCACCCCTCACTCACTCTTTGTAAGTGCTGAGCCCAGTCAGGGGTCCATGCTCCGTGGGTGCTCAGGCTGCCTGGATGTTCATCCCTCCCACCCCCCACTAATCCTTCCACGGTGTTCAAGGCCCCTGTGTGCGCTTCTCTGCCCGTGCACCCCACCTCTGGCAGGGAGCTCAGACTCCCCCCTGACTCCAGGCTGATCAATTCCTGCCTCGCCTCTAAGCCCCAGGTGGGCATCACCTCCACTTCCATTTGGCCTCAGGACTCATGGATTCTCTTGCTCAATGTGCATAATGACCTATTTATTTGTCACTTCTTGAGGTCAAGGAGGGTAGGGCCTCTGGGCAGGATGTTGAAAGATGAAAGGAAACAATGGAATAACCCCAACTTGGAGGTCAGCTGGGGACGTCCCTCTGCCTCCCCAGCCCACATGTGCTGACGCAGGCCCTCCCTCCTAGCACTCCCATTTTGTCTGGAACCGCACGGAACTCCTGGCTCTTGACCCCTTCACTGTGGACTACCTCTTGGGTAAGTCGCACGGAACTCCTGGCTCTTGACCCCTTCACTGTGGACTACCTCTTGGGTAAGTCGAGGAGGCGGGAAGCCCATGGCTAGGACTGTGCAAGTCCAGTCCTCAGATTTGGGACCTTTGCCCTTTATTTCCAGGCCCTGGGAGGGGCAGAGAAAAGAGTTCCTGATGCATGGAGTTAGGCCTGAAGCCTGCTGGCCATGCAGGGGAAGGAGTCCCAGTGAGCTAGAGGAGAAACTGAAGCTCAGAAAGGGGTGTAGCCCATGGCATGCCACACAGCAGGGTTGAACCCTGGCTGGGAGCTGGAACTTACACAGCTCCAGGCCTGGGGCTTCTGGGCCTGGAGGCAGTTCTATACCCTGGTCAGAGCAGAAGCCAGCTAGCTGGGTTGTCTCTGCCTGTCCTGATAGTTGTCTCTCCTCCTCAAGGAGTAGGGAACAGGTGAGGGCCGGGGCAGCTCTGGGCTGTGCTGGACACACAAAGGCCAGCTCTCGTCAGTGTGGACAGCCATGCAAGGGCTGAGTTCCAGGAGGCAGTCTTGCAGGGTGCCATCTTGGAGGCGTACTCCTACCTGCTCCTGAGGCTCCTGGAACAGGCTGTAGTCTAGAGGGGACACTTGGCTAACCAAAGCTATTGTTTGGCTGGACACACAGGCAGGGCAAGGTGTCCTGGAAGGACATCCAGACCAGAAATGCCAACACAGCCCACATGGGGAACCTGGTGACATGGGCAGGAATGGATCACTCTCCTTGTGTCACAGTTGAGAACAGACAAGTGGCAGAAGGGACAATGACCCCAAAGTTTCTGCTGCTTCACTGTACAGCCCACGATGGTCTTCAGACCGCATATACTCAAGTGGCCCCATTCATTCCAGGCCAGAGTCCTCTGTCTTAGGGCCACATGCTGTGTTGTGGGCCCTGCATGCTGAGGTAGACGTGGATTTGAATCTAAGATCTGTCACTTCCCAGCTGAAGGCAAGATGTTGGACCCCTCTGGGTCTCAGTGTCTTCCGTAAAATGGGTTGGTGATCCCCTTCATCCTAGTGATGTTTGTTAAGATGACAGGAATTACAGGCAAGTTCTGGACCCCAAGAGCTGCCCATATAAGGCTCCTACCTTCCCACGCTACCCCCCAGTTGAGTGTGGGGAGCCTGTGTTCTCTGAGACACCCCAGATTCCTTGGAACCCTCCTTCTGGCAGCATGAGGGCTGCAGCATCCACATTCTCCCTGTGTTCTCCCCAGGTCTCTTTGAGCCTGGAGACATGCAGTATGAGCTGAACAGGAACAACGTGACTGACCCATCCCTCTCCGAGATGGTGGAGGTGGCCATCAAGATCCTGAAGAAGAACCCCAAAGGTTTCTTCTTGCTGGTGGAAGGTAGGGGCCCAGGCCTGCTGGGAGAAAACTTCCAGAAGCATGACTCTGGTCCAGTTCTCAAAGAGAACTGACACTTTGGGGGTGAAGGGAGAACTTCCCTCTGGGATGGTGGGCTGTAGACTCTAGGAAGAGGATGCTGTAGAAGCGCCCAGCCCAGCACATTCTCTGAAGGATGTGGAGATTGCTGGCCGGCTGGGCCAGGAAGGCTTCCTGAAAGAGGAGGCAGGAGGCTTCCTTTGAGGAGTCCTTGAACCTGGCTCTAGAGGACATATAGCCCCTCAGCTTTGCTCCAAGACTGAGAATGGTGCCCAACTACTAACTATTAAGGAGACAGAGATCGGAAGAATCAAGGTTTGAGGCCAGACCTGGCAAAAAGTAGCAAGACTCCATCTCAACCAATAAACTGAGTGTGGTGGTACATGTTTCTTGTCCCAGCTACATGGAAGGCCATAGGTAGGAGGAACACAGTCTAAAATTGACCCAGACAAAAAACATGAGACCCTCCTGAAAAATAACTAAAGCAAAAAAGGGCTGGAATGTAGCTCAAGTGGTAGACTGCCTGTCTAGCTGCCTAGCAAGGTGCAAGGCACGTCCGCAAAAAAAACAAAACAAAAGACAGCTCTGCAGGCCCCAGCTTTCCCAGGCTATGTGCCGCCCTTCTGTGCGCTGTGGCTGTCAGAGGCTGTGGAGTCAGACTTGAGTTCTTGACCTTGTGCTGCCACCCACTGGCTGTGTGACAATGACACTTCTGTGCAATAAGACCAAAAATTTGTTCCTTCTCCTAGAGGCATGACCAGCTACCATCACGCTCAGAGACATACAGCCCTTGGGACAGGACCTGCAAAGAACAAATCCTTAAGTGTTTCTAGAGTAATTACAACTACATAGTAGCTAAGGCAACAATGGGAGTGGGAAGAAGAGATAAAGCTTCCAGAATCTTCCAGAGTTGTGACAGCCCTTGCCCTCTGTGGTCCCTCGTGTTTCCTGCTAGATCTACATGGATACACCCCCACGCGGACACGTGGGCCTGTCTGCACACACACTCACCACTCGTGCATACACACTTGGGCTCCTCCACCTTCCAGAGGCCAGTGGCTGCCAGCCCCACTCAGCTGCTTTCTTGCCAAACCCTGGCATTCCCACAAGCACAATGGTCTCCGCCTGGCCCCAAACAGGCCTCCAATGCAGAGGAACCGCCAGTTACCAGTGGTGGTGAGCACAGGTCCCCCGGGAGCACTTGTCTTTGTGAACAGGGCCAGGCCAGCCCACTAGGCCAGCTTCTCCCAGTGCCACAACAAAGGGAGGGTTCTCCCTGCCAGGGAGGCCCGCCCTGCCAGCCCACCAGTGGGCCAGGCCAGCAGTGAGGCTGAGGCTGGTGGGGACGGAGCACGGCCTAGTGGCCAGACTCAGGACCCTCAGAGCTGGGAGTGTCCACCAGGCTGGTAGACAAGGGGCGGGGTTCCCTAAGACCACAAGCCCTCACTGCTAGGCCAAGCGTAAAGCCAGGCCTCTGTGTGCAACCCAAGAGAGGTAGCATGGGATTGGGCCTTCCATGGGCCTTTATGGAAGCCCACCATGGAACTGCCTTGGCACTGAGGACTTCTGCCACCTTGATCCAGGAGCCCTGTGCTTTCTGCTTAGGAGAATAGAAAACCATAGACTACAGAATGCCCCACCTGATCTTAACCCCTCCGCAGACCCTGCCATGGGCACATCACTCCCTGCCCTAGGCTCATTGCTCCCTGTAACCAGGGTTGGTCACACCCCTCTCTGCTTGGGATGATTGTGAAATTTGCTACACCTAGCACATAGTAGGGACTCAGTTGTGTTCCCTTTCCCTTTCTCCTTGAAGTCTTAGTGATTCCTTCAGCATCTGAAGGTAGAGACAGTGCTGGGAGCAGAGGGATGGTGGAAAGTTCTAGGCTGCTCAGACTGGTGGGTCTGCTTAGACCTGGGCTCTGCCTTCCCCCATGGGTCCTATGGTCCTGCAGCTCTCCCTGTTCAGCCTCCATAGGTTGAATGGCTGCATAAGATGACTAAAGGTGTACCTGGCACAGAGTAGTTCCTGGTGACAGTCATAGTCCTTCTCCATCAAGGAAATGTTTATAGATGATAGCGTCCTGGAGCTTGGGGGTACAGGCTTCTTTTCCCTTCCCCCTCACCCGAGGTCTTTGCCTTGGTGTCCTAAGGAGGCAGGATTGACCATGGCCACCATGAGGGCAAGGCCAAGCAGGCACTGCACGAGGTGGTAGAGATGGACCAGGCGATCGGACAGGCAGGCACCATGACCTCTCTGGAAGACACGCTAACGGTGGTCACTGCTGATCATTCTCACGTCTTCACCTTCGGTGGATACACCCCCCGGGGTAACTCTATCTTTGGTAAGTGGACCTCCATCAGGGCGGGAGAACCAGCAAGCCAGGACATAGTAGGAATTGAGTGAGAACTGAGCAGGGGGTGGGGCAAGGTACTGGTAGCAGGTGGACAATGCAGGATGGGGTGGCGAAAGCTGAGTGCGTAACTGAGTGATGGGTGGGTGGGGGGTGGAGAGCAGCAAGGATGGATTGAAGAATGAGAGAGGATGGAGAGAAGGCATGAAGAGAGGAAGAGAGGACGGATGGATGAATGCATGGGTGCATAGATGGACAGATGGATGGGAGGGGTGTTGGTGCAGAGAAAACTGAGACAGAGGCTGGGAGTGCATAGGGCTTGGGAAGTGACCTCATGGAGGTGGGTTGAGGCCCCTCATGGAGGATTCTGGGGGTTTAGGAGCGTACTGGGGAGCGGGGACTCTGCTTCCACCATTCCAATGTGGCCCCTGGGCCCCCTCCCTGTGCAGGCCTGGCCCCCATGGTGAGCGACACAGACAAGAAGCCTTTCACGGCCATCCTGTACGGCAATGGGCCTGGCTACAAGGTGGTGGGTGGCGAGAGAGAGAATGTCTCCATGGTGGACTATGGTAAGACCCCCCAGGCCAGGGCTGGGAGGGGACAAGCAGCCTAAACTTGAGTCAGCACAACCTCAGCTAGAATCCCCTTACTGGAATTTAGTCACTCTGTCCTTGGACACATAACGTCACTTTGCTCACCTTCAATTTCTTCCATAAAAGGGTTGTACCTCCCAGGTACTTTAACCTGAAGGATGAAATGGGTCTGACGAGCTTAGTTCAGTGCCTGACATAGGGAGGAACGTCCAGTTGGCTGTATAATATCCCATACTACTGGGTGTCCAGTTGCTCTTGAAGCCCCCAGTAGTTTTGGGGGCTCTGGGGTCCCCAGCCAGTGGTAAGAGTTGCCTCTTCTCTGCTAATCCAAGTAACATGAGTGAGGTTCGTTTTCTCTGTGGGAGGTGGAGCATGTGAACGTCTGTGTCAGACAGACTCAGGTTCAAATCCTGCGGCCTCAGGCAAAATGCCTCCTTTGTTCACTGAGCCTCTTCCATGAACCGGGGGTTCAGGCCAGCCTGGGTGGGAGGGAGACGCTGCTCTCCCAGTGCCAGTGCCACGCTAAGCAATGTTTTTCTGGCCCGCAGCTCACAACAACTACCAGGCCCAGTCAGCTGTGCCCCTGCGCCATGAGACCCACGGCGGGGAGGACGTGGCGGTTTTTGCCAAGGGCCCCATGGCGCACCTGCTGCACGGCGTCCACGAGCAGAACTACATCCCCCACGTGATGGCTTACGCTGCCTGCATCGGGGCCAACCTTGACCACTGTGCCTGGGCCAGCTCGGCGGGCAGCCCCGCTCCCGGGCTCCTGCTGCTCTTGATGGCGCTGTTGCCCCTCAGTGATCTGTTCTGAGGGCCCCTGGCCCTCCACACATGGCCAGCCCCACCCCCAGTGCTGCCCATGGCCGGCAGCCCACACCTCAGGAGCTGGAGGCCCAGGCCTCCACAGCAGCTGAGCTGCCAGAAGGGGGACCCAGGAGCCAAAGTCAGTCGCCTGCCCTGCTCCCCTTTGAAATCTTCCATGGGCCAGACCCATTCCTGGCTCCGGCCTTCTTCCCGCCCCAATGTCCTTTGGCCAACAAGGTAAGCTGCTCTTGGGCAGGCAGAGCCCAGACTGCAGAAATTCCCAAAAGTATCTTATTTTTCTACCACATCTACTTCTCCTTTCCCAGAATCCTGCAGCCTCCACAGGACATTCAGCTCTGACTCTCTCACTCCCCTCTGGATCCCACCTGGCCCCATGTTCACGCCCTATCCCCAAGCCCAGCCCTCTATACAGGGGAGACCAGGTCTCTCTCCTCAGGAAGGTTGCTCGCTCCCTGCAAGGCTCTGCCAGGGTGCCCAGGAAGCCAGCTTCTGAAACTGGCTGTCCACCTGCGGTGGCCAGGCCAGGAAGAGCAGCCTGGCGGGCACACACTCCAAGCACTCATGCCAGCTCCTGTCTGAAGTGACTCTCCTGTTTGGAATGGCAAAAAAAAAAGAAAGAAAAAAATTTTTTTTTCTCTTTTTGGTGTTGGTTAAAAGGGAACACAAGACATTTAAATAAAACTTTCCAAATATTTCTGAAGACTGAGCTGAGTCTTTGTGGTCAGTGGGAAAGGGACAGAAATAAGCTGGTTGCTTGGGGAAGAATTGGACTCTGGGCCCCAGGGCAGGAGGGCTGGGCTCCTGCTGGGCTGGGGGCTCTGCCACTCATGACCAGGGGGACTTTGGACAATGAGTTTGTCTCTGTGCTTCTGTTCTTGTGTGTGGAAGGGGAGACAGCCACTCTGGGTTGCTGCCCCGTGGCATGTACTTCCACCTCATGGTACCCACACATTGTACCACGTACCCTGGCTGGTGCTCACTGCTCATTCATTGCTTTCACTCAACAAATACTGAGTGCATGCTTCCCGAACTGAGACATTGTCACCTCCCCTCCTGTTACACACACCTGGGCACTGGACTGGGGACAGCTCCTGACAGTGGGTGAGCAGAGCACCCCAAGTTCCCTCCATTTGCCACATTGGAAGTTTCTAGATGATAACGATCCAAGTAAATCCTGCTGGTCATTTCCCATATGCTGCCCTGGGTCTGATGCCTTATATGGACTTGTTTCATTCTATTCTCACTAGAAGCAGTCCCTTCACTTACACTTATAAATGAGGACACCAAAAGCACGGAAGGTGGTAGGATTGTCAAGGTCCCCAACTTGTGGAGCAGGGATTTGAATCCAAATGTGTCCCATTCCAAAGCTCGTGGACTTCGTGACATCCTTTATAATGTTTATAAATGCCTGCTTGCTAGGTCCCAGCCAATACCAATGACTCATAACACACACCAGTTAAACGTGGATTAAGAGAAACCCAGTGTCTGAAATGACTGAGAATGCAAACTGAGTGCATTTCTCTCTGAGCTTCCTAGCAGTCCTGGCAAAAAGGGAAGCTTAGCCAAGCTGATTCCAGGATTTTAAAAAATGGAATCATAGGCACATGTTCTCACCAGGAACTTCAGAGATAGCTACCTCATCTTGAACCATACAGCATAGCACTTGAAGTGTTCTTATAATACCTTCATAATTTTTGCCATTTCTCTGTGCTATTATTTCCTAAAGAAGTTCCAGTTGAATTTTGAAAGTTTATCACTACTGCTTGTAATCAACTTACATGTTTCGGGGTGTGCAAACCATACTTTCGTATCACAGGCTGGGTTTCCCCAAAGGCAGACCTGAGAGGAGGAGCTGGGTATGGGTTGTTTACAAGAGGAACCAGAAAGGCACCAGTCAGGATGTGAAGAAGTGAAGGCAAGAAAGGGAAAGAGGCTGAGGACAGTGCGTTATTCATCAGGTTGCATTGTGGACAATCCACTGTGGCCTCCTAGGGGATAGTGTAAGAGACGCACTTCAGAGTTATTCCCCTCTCCCCCCAAGGGACTGGCTGGGGGCTGCTGTGGGGAGAATTGACCTGGCCCCTCTAATCTGCCCCTGGAGAGGCTGAGGGAAAGCCCAAGGCATGGCACTAGAATGTTGGATTCTGGGAAGACAAGCACCAGCATCTGTTAAGCTTTGGGACTCATGTTTGGGCTAGAATGCTAAGAGAGAAGTCACGGGCTGGGAGTCCAGGAGACAGAGGTCCTCCCCCGCCCCATCGCTTTCTTGGCCTATGGACTTGGGCAAGGTCTTGGTCATCCGTGATGCCCCTGCCTAGCACAATGCCTAGCACACAGTGAGCACTAAGACCCCAACAGGAGCGAGGATGATGTATCCTTCAAAGGTAAGGCATCAGCAATGCTCAGGTCCCACCGTGCCAAGTCCCCCATGAGGTTGGGTCCTGGTTCGCTCACTCCAGGGCCACTCATCGCCTTGTAGGTTCATTGCTGTGGACTCTGAGCTAGGGGTCCAGAGGAGGACTTGTCTCCATCCCACAGCCATGGCACTGGATACTGTGGACAGCAATCAGTACCCACGGCCCAATGGTCCCACTGTCTTTGGATGTTTCTCAGGAAGAAATGACAAAGAAGAGTGACAGATTCTCTTTTGTTCACAGAGACAGCTCTGTCTCCTGTTAAAGATAATCCAGAAACCTCAACAATTTAACACAGTAAATTTTCTTTTTCTTTCTTTCTTTCTTTCTTCTTCCTTCCTTCCATCCTTTCCTTCCTTCTCTTTTTCTTTTCTTTGCACTCCCTCCTTCCTTTCCTTCCTTCTTCTCTCCTTTTAATGAGACAGGGTCTTACTAAGCAGACCCCATATATGCTATATAACCAGGCTGCCCTTGAACTCATGATCCTCCTGCCTCTGCGTTCTAAGTGCTGGGATTGTAGGCATGGACAATCAATCTATTTCTACCTCAAAGAGCAGATGCCTCTGGGATCCCAGCTCTTTTCATCTTCAACTCTGCCACCTCCTCTGAGGGCCTGACTTCCTTTCTGACCAGCACCTTCATGGGAAAAGCCAGTACTGCTTTTCAACCACTTCTTGGACCCTCATGGCTCCCACTAGGAGTCCATTGGTAAGACTTGGTCAAGAGCCCACCTAGGTGCAAAGGAGGCTGGGAAATGTAGTTTTTGGTTTAAGGGTGGCTGCACACAGCATGTTCTCACCCTTGGCACCACTAACCTTTGGAGCCAGATAGCTCCCTGCAGTGGGGGGCTACCCTGTGCATTGTGGGATGTTGTCAGCACCTTTGCCTTCATTCATTAGATTTCTGGGGACAAAATCTCCCCTGCTCTAGGGTCAGCTCTGCTGATGCTCAGGTCACCCTCTCACTCATGTGCTCCCCAGCCATCCCGGGCACTTCTACACTGGGGTATTTTGTGAAGATCTGGACTTCTGATTGCTTTGGAAAATTGGAAGACCCAGCTGGCAGTGGCCCCACATTTCTGCAGGACAGTGGTCACCCGGAGCTGAGAGATGGAGCCATGCTATTTGTCCACCCTGTTTGCCACAGTCCCTGGCATTCCCTGTATGCCACACAAGCCCCTTCATGCCTGATTGGTGGTGTGGAGGCTAAGCTGCAACATGGCCTCATTGAGGGCCACGCCCTGTTCTGGGTCTGGGAGACAAAACAAAGAACAAATCGAGGCCCTGTCCTCAAGCTCCTATCTCATGATAGAGACCACCCAGTGTGAGGGAAGCAAGGAACTGTGGGAGCAAAAAGGAGCAGCTAACCTGCTAGGGGCCCAGAGGGGTGGCATGGGGTAGGAGGACAGAGAAGACAGTGAGTGAGCTGAAGCTTAATGGGAAGAGGGGGACTTAGAGCAGAGGGACAGAGGGGAACTCAGGAAAAAACATTGTGAGAAGAAACACATTGGGAGAGAAAGGTAGCTGGGCCTCGGATGCCATTCCAAGAAGCCAGGAGGTTGACCACACAGGTCCCAGGGAGCCATAGAACGTAGCAGTCATCCGAGCTACACAGCAGGTGGAGGTAGGAGGACGGTGGTCCAAAACCAGCCTTGGGTGAAAAGTGCAAGACCCTATGTGAAAACTAAACTAAAGCAAAAATGGCTGGTGGAGTGGCTCAAATGGTAGAGCACTTGCCTAGCAAGCATGAGGCTCTGAGTTCAAATCCCAGTACTGCTCAAATGTGGCCCTGAGTGTCCCAGCATGAACCAAATGTCCCGAGTAGAGAAGAGGCAGCTGCACACCTACTGTGTACCACATGCCCTCCTATGCACGCAGTCAGGGTGGCAAGGTTGCCCCTTCGAAGGTGGGAATATTGAGACTGGACAGGGCATAGAGACTGCTCCAGGCTTGTAGGTGACAGCAGGAAATTGAACCCAAGTCTGCCTGGCTCCCAATTCATCTCTCTTGCTTCTGAGCTGCCAATCTTTCAAAGGAAAAGGAGCCCTCCCCACCAGTCACCAAACCATGGCTTCCCCAGGGGTGCCCCCAGGAGCCCTATAGTGTGTGGGGGGGTGAGAAACCCATACAGCAGTGTTTATAATTAACCCTGAGGTTACACTGAAGACCTCCCACCAAGATCCAGCCACCATCGGGGGTGGGGGATTAAGTGATCAGAGAGGATTTGGGCTCAGGTTCCTGTGTGGCTTCCTCTGGGCCTCCTCGTGATGCTGTCCTACTCCTATCACGGCGCCAGTCCCTTTCCCAGCTTCCCAGGGTGGTCTGTGTGATGGCGTGGGCACGTAGGCCACCAGCAGAGCAGGGGCAGGCTGGGCTGGGGTCACTGGCTGGCCTGACAGTGGCTGGCCAGTGCCACCTCACGCCTGCCTGTTGGACCTGAGGCTTAGGAGTAGGTGCACAAATGCAGTCACAATGGTGTCCCCTGGGTCTCAGGCACTGTCCCTAAGTGCTCCATAGCACACACTGACTCATTTTTCTCCCAACCACCCCTGGAGGGAGAGGCTGTTCTCATCCCATTTTACAGATGAACAAGAAAAGCCCACTAATGAGGGCTGGAGCCAGGACAGCATGGCTTCTATGCAGTGCAGGATTTTCATCACACTGTGTGTCCTCTGGTGTCAGGCAGGGCCAGCTGGAGCCAGGGACTCCACCAGAGTCCAGACCCTGACCTGTGACCTGTGAGAAAGATAGGGACTCAGTGTCTGTGGGGGTCACTAGTGCCGATCCTGGGTCCTGGGCCAGGGTCTGGCTGGTCACTGCCTCTGGCTTACTGGAGTCCACTGCCCTCTCTGTGGACTCCTTGACCTTGAAGACATGGAGTGTGGGGGGAGTAGGTGAAAGGAGGGTTTGCAGAAAGGACAAATCTGGAATCTGGAATGTAACTGCACAGCTCCAAGTGGCAGGGTAGGCGAGGGCAGCCATCAGAGGTAAGGGGTCCTGCCACTGGGCCTGGAACTGGGAGGGGTATCCATGGTTGAGCCCTTATTCTGGTGGGGGTGCCCAAAAGCCGCTACTACCCATACCAGGATGGATAGCACCAGGGATTCTGGGCCTCCAGGGTCAGCCTGATTTGAACACTTGCCTGAGGGCCCTGTCATCAGCCTCCTGCCCACTCAGGTCACCTGGCTATGGAGAAGTGGCAGCAATGAGGCTGA